TTTCCCTTGAGGAAAAGCTTTGCTGCTGAGTTATCCCAGAGATGCAACGTGTGTCTGTGGTGGGCACTTGCCTTGAATGGTGTGTGCAAATAAATCCTGCTGCCAAGAGTCCTTTTCTCAGAAGAAGGGGTTTGGGAGGTGGAGCAATGGTGCCTAGGTACACTAAATAACAGTCCTCGTTTGGGCTGCCAGATCCTCCTACCCCTTGGCTGTTTCTGGCTTTAACCAAGTCACTAACATGAAATGCTTTGTGAGGACTGAAACTTGGTAAACACTAGGCTAAGAGGAAAGGCCTTCCTCTGTCCACTTTTCTTTAGGAATGTTTTTCCTCCATTGCTACTTGCAGAGTGGTCTGACTCAAAAGGACAGGACGGAGCATTGCAGCACCTAAATCTCTCTTTTGACTTTTTGGCCGTTAGCTTCTTGGTCCCCATGCTGCTGGAAAAACGTTATGACATCAGTCTGTAGTTCTGACTGCAGATTGACTACTACTACTGAGCAATTCATGATGGAAGTTAAACAAGATAAAGACTGGCATCCATTTAAATAACAAGCAGGACGTATGTGTGCTGTCCTTTTTAAGGTAACATCTTGCTTTTGCACAGGTCTAGCTTTCCGAGCTGTGTTCCCAAGGGAATGCTGCAGCACCCTGAATTCTGTTGAGGAAGATAAATATAGTCCAGAGAGGAGCAGGGAGCTCGCTTGTTGTGTCTGGCTGAAGGGGTTAGCCCTGCTGCAATTAATCACTGCATGTAAACAAGCCCTGAACTTGGTATGACTTTATGAGTTTTGGTGGATGACTTTTGTCTTGGAGGCTCTGCAGGCACATCATGGGTGCCAGAGGACTTCTCTCCAGGAAGAAGTCCTCTAAGGTTCTTGATCAAAGGGTCTTACTGTATATGCTGAGCTGCATCCCCTGACCTCTGCTTTCCCTTGATGCACCTGAATAGTGATCTGTGATATAGCTACTAAACACTTCATCCACCATTCCTGATCCTTCTCTTGTAGGTGGGTGCATTAAATGCCTGTTTCTTTGCTAGACGAGGTTTCCATGTTGATGTTTATGAAGCCAGAGAAGGTAAGTTCAGCCTGATCATTACTGCTTTATTAATGCTTCTGTCCCTTTACTGATAACAGTTCTTGAAGAAGCAAAAGAGGAACTGTGTGAGCTCGCTGAAACTGCAGGATGGAAATGAAATCTTAGTGTGGCACTTTGGGGATACACTTTTCACTCTTCCCTTTAGCTCCTGTGGTGGTGGGGAGCATTTATTTGAAATATGTTGTCTTGGGTGGAGGGAACCCACCTTTCAGCTACTAAAATGATGCCCTTTTTTTCTGTTCTTGGCTTAAATATTGATTCAAATCCTCACCTTTGAAAATTGCTCTCTGTATGAAGAATTATAGCACAGGGCTGTTGAAGCAAGCTGGGTCAGAAGTTTGGAAGCAACGGCTGTTGTTAATGCTGCAGCATCTCTGTTAGGGTTAAAAACATTACTTGACTGGTAACCACTGCCATCAGTGGTGAGGAAGGCTGGTGGTGAGAGGGGGAGAAGGAGAGATGGAGTGCTTTCAGGAAGCCTGCAGCTCTGCAGGGCACCACAAGAGAGAAATGATGATTCAGAGCCTGGGTGCTGGCTGAAAGGGAGAGAAATCGTTTGCCTTTAGTGTCTATCAGCTGACAGACAA